AGCAAAGCTACATAGAGAAACCCTGTCTCGAAAAACAAAACAAAACAAAACAAACAAACAAAAAAAGCACTGGCTGCTCTTGCAGAGAACCCAGGTTTGATTCCCACCATCAACATGGCAGATCACAACTTTCTATAAAGTTGTTCAGTCCTGTTCCAAAGGAAGGATTAGACTCACTCTTCTGGCCTCCATGGACACCAGGCACTCACGTGGTACACAGACATACATGTGGGCCAAACATCCATAAACATAACATTTTAAAAATATTTTTTAAGGAAGAAAAGAAATACTTCCTGAGAATTCACCTCATACTGGGCACAGTTCTAGGTGTATTGGGGTTGGAAGTCAAGGCCTTTGCCCTTGAGGAGGTCATAGATTAGTAGAAACAGGTCCTAAACAAATCCTGTAATGAGTAAGTGTACACAGTACAAAGGAAGAAATGACTTGTTCTGCCTGGAGAAAATCAGAGAAAGCTTTCAGTGGAGACCTCGTTACTAAGCCGAGAAAAAGGACATGCTCTGAGAGAGAGCAGTAAGACTCAGGAAGGGTCGGAAGAGGATCCTGAGGCTTGCTTTCATGTTCCACAAAGCTAAAGAAAGGGAATTGCTTTTGAAGAAGCTGAATGAAAGTTAATTCTTTGTTTTCATCTCCTCTCTCTCATACCTTGCTTCTTGAGGGCTTGGTAAGTAAGGCTTGTTTGGTTGGTTTTCATTTGTTTGTTTGGCTGTTTTTTCAGTGGTGGTTGTTAAGATAGAGTCTGTATCTGTAGTCCAGACTGGCCTGAAACTTGCTGAGGAGTGCAGGTGTACACGGTCGTGTCTGGCTTGCTTTTTGTTTTGTTCAGGACTTGTACTCAGAAATGATGAAGACCCAGTATCTAAGAATATGTTGTCAAGACTTGATCACTGTAAAGGACTCTTAATAACTTAAAGGCAGAAGCTACATGGTAACTGCCATGAAAAGGGGGTTGCCCTTAGAGAAAGCTACCTCACAAATATGCACACACACACACCACACTGTTACCTTCCCACCCCTGTGACTTGGCTGCTATATGTTTCTGTGCCTTAGGTACTTATATTCCATTGTTTCCTCTTTTACAGAAATAGCTATAACCTTTCTAAGTAGCTTTGAAACTTCAGAAAACTGGTTGATTTCTATATATATAAAGCCTTTCTCTATACTCAGACCCTCAGGCCTTGCTTTGTGAGATGGGGTCTCATGTAGCACAGCCTAGCCTCAAACTAGCTATCTAGCTCATGCTGGACTTGAACTTCTGATCCTTGAGTCTTCACAAGCTACCATACCAGGTTCATTCCACCAGACTGTTGCAAAATTTGTTTGCACAGAGTAGTGAGGCTGTGTTGACTGGCCATGAAGATGACACCTTTAACTCCAGGAGGCCATCTTACCTCCTGACTAGACCTTTGAAAAACAAGTCTATTAACAAAAGGCTTCACTGTGTTAATACCCTGTTTCCAATGAAGAAATGATCGCTTCTTAAAGAAAACACACGTGTAGGGCTATAATGGCTCACGCCTTTAATCCCAGCACTCAAGAAGCAGAGGCAGATGGGTCTCTGAGCCTGGTCTACAGAGTGAGTTCCAGGACAGCCGGGGCTGCCCATTGCCCTGGTAAAGTATATTCTTCCTGCTGAACCTTCCTTGTCAATGGTCTCATTGAGTCATTTGGAAGTGTTATATATTTTCCTGGTCATGATTGGCCTGAGCTCTTGAAGTCCCTTTGGCTTCTCTTTTCTATGAAATAGACCCAAGTGTTTTTCCCTCCCTAGAGTGAACAGGAAAAACGAGAGCGTCTGGAAACCCAGAGGGAGAAGCAGAAAGAACTGATTCTGCAGCTCAAGACCCAGCTTGATGACCTGGAAACCTTCGCCTATCAGGAGGGCAGTTATGACTCCCTGCCGCAGTCCGTGGTCTTGGAAAGACAGCGGGTGA